TTGTTATAATTGTAATTGTTATGCTTCTATATAAATACATTTATATAATTATATTTAAATAAAATTATCCAAAGATATTTTGTAATAAGAAAGATTATATTATAATAAGAAAATTTTTGTCAAAAATTTTCATGATTATTAGAAATTTAAACCTTCAACACTCTATTTATCGATTAAAATTTTGACAAAGCAATTAACAAAACAATTTATTTAATAATCTTCATTTAATAATTTAATAGTTTTTGTGAAATAATAGAATATTTGCGTATCGCATAATCGCATTTGCATATCGCAAATATCCTTTTTTTTTTTGCTTTTTTTGCTTATAACAGAAAAATGAAATACCAATACTTTTTGCACAATTTCCTATTTTTTTATGTTCATCACGTTTTTCAAAAACAGAATATCCGACGATCAATAATGAATGTATTGTTTGAAATCAATATTTGATTATACGATTTAATGACGGTATTTAGAATTGTGCTTTTTATTTTTTATTATTTAATTTCTTTATTATTCTATAATTTCTTCTTATTAAGATAATTTTATTTTTGTCATGAATAATTATTAGCTATATCAGACAGATAAAATAACCAGAGGAAAAAAGAAAAGATTTTATTTCGTCGAAAAAAATGGTCACTCTTGAAATCAATTAGCACATGATTAATTTCAATGAATTAGCAAAATAACTGTTTACGATTATTATAATTTTTTTGTGTTAAATATAATTGGTATCATACTTAAAATATAGACATGAAGTGGAGATAAGATATACAGAATTTGTTAGGATTTAAAAACTTTTTTTAATTCTTTTCTTATTTTTAATAAGTATTATTAATTATTTTTTGAATAATTAATTATTATTTTATTATTTTTATTTCTTAAATAATTTCTTTCAAAGACTCATAATTTTCACAATTTCTTAATAAACAAATTATTGAATATTATTAATTAATATTATTAATTAATTTTTGAATATTATTATATTATATTATATTATTTATTAATTATATTTCTCAAAATTTTTCTATGATTCTTTAATTATTATTTACTTTACGATAGATATTACCATTACTTCGCGCACCGGAAGTCCTATACATCTCCAGTATCTTCGGAGATACAGCCGTTTTAATAAGGCACTATTTTAAATATTCTAAAATGTCGTCTCCATTACACGACAATAGCGTATGAACCGCTTGTGCTCGCGTAAACAGTGAAAACTGAGTATAAAGAGCAAGGCGCTTGCAACGCGCACTGGAAGCCCCATGTATCTCCAGTATCTTCGGAGATACAGCCGTTTTAATAAGGCACTATTTTAAATATTCTAAAATTTCGTCTCCTTTATACGACCATAGCGTATGAACCGTTTTATGTATATACATTATGAAGTTTAAATTGTTTTCTCTCCTTTAAACTTTCTTTCAATTAACTTAAAAAATGTCTAATTAATTTTTATACCGCACAATTTATTGAATATTTACGTTTTAATATTGTATTAAAACGGCTGAAGATACTGGAGATACATGGAACTTCCGCTGCGCGTTGCAAGCGGGAAAGATTGCTCCTTACACTCAATTTTCACTGGTTACGCTAGCACAATCGGTTCATACGCTATGGTCGTATAAGAAACACGAAATTTTAGAATATTTAAAACAAGTATATCTAAAGCTAAAAGAGGTGCACATATTTTTTGGAGGTAGGTGCAAGCGGGAAACATCGTTCTTTATAAGGAAGAATAAAAATTAATAATCCGTAACTAAATACAAAAGTTAACTTTGTTTTATACGGTTTATAGAATTTCAAGTTTTAATGATAAGGACATTGACAATGTAAAAAAAATTGACAAAAAATGTAACAAATAATATTTCTATATGTTTTTTATAAATCAATAATATTAAAATGAAAATCAAGAAAAATCCCTAAATGTCAAGATTGTTCGATCTGGAAAAAGTAATTAAAGCGATGTGTTTTTAAAAATCGATGTATACTAAAATATACATGACGATAGGAATATAACAATTGTTGATAATGAGGAATCATGAAAATTAATAATTTAGCAAATATATATTATATATTTATATAATATTATATAATATATTTATATAATATTAGCATTTTATTACGTTTATTATATTGTATGAGAATAAGGTCACAAGAATTAATATTACATCGTTTATTATTGTATACATTCGTAGTAAGGTTTCGAACGCGAAACGAACCGGACGTGTTTCGCTGTGCTCTTGCAGTAAAAATATTATCGCTGTGAATATAGTATTAAAACATAAAAATTCAATAAATAAACAGAATTTTGTTGTATAAAAATTAATTAGAAATTTTTTAAGTTAATTGAAAGAAAGTTTAAAGAAGAGAAAACTATTTAAACTTCATAAATGTGTACACATAAAAGGCTGTATCTCCGAAGATAATGGAGATACATTGAACTTCCGGTGCGCGTTGCAAGCGGGAATGATTGCTCTTTACACTCAGTTTTCACTGGTTACGTTAGCACAAGCTGTTCATACGCTATGGCTGTACAAGGAAGTTGAAATTTTGAAATCTTTAGAAT